AAAAATATTGCACTTATGATAATGTAATAACAATAATGTAACATGGTTAACACTATCTGACTTTACCTGTGTCTTTACTGCTCCATAAGCAATGCATGAAGGTGAGCAGATGCAGGAAGATGAAACTAATGCAACTATAAGACAGCAGCAGACAGTAGCCTAAAGAGCCTAGCGCAGATAAGTTTAAATGAATAACGACATTACATTTGTTTATTTTCTAATTTGGTTTATCTTGGTCTGTCCTCATGTGATTGGTAGAAATATTAGATATTATATATATATATAATATATATTATAGCTTTGTTGATATTTTGATATGAGCACTAATTTTAACAGGATGAAAGAAACTGATGTGATTAGCTTTGATTGTGTCTAGCCTCTAACAAGCCCTGGATCATTGACAGCATCCATTTTACATCATGCGCCCACACACAGCTCACTTTCAATGGAGCCACATATGAAAACTTGCACAACAGAGAAATCTACATGTTTTTTTGTTTGTTTTCTTTTCTCTGTCATGTCTCCATGTTGATGAAAGAGGCTTTTGATATGTGCAAAAAGAAAATCGAACACATTAATAGATAAAATAAAAGCACATGAAAAGTAGATTTTACATTTGAGAGTCAAACTATTCTAGTGGGATTTTTTAAACAATTTGATCTCATATAAAGAAAGTGTATAGTGTGGCATTATTGAGAGGATAAGTGTCAGAATGAGCTGGATCCTGGGTTTATAAGAAACAGGCAGTGCGATACAGACCACAGGAAGGGAGATGACAGCTTGATGTGATGATATAAATGTTAAACAGAAAGGATATTAATAAACTATTAATCACATGGTATAAATGACTATTATTAATATATATGTACACAAGTCAAAGTTAATGTAATATAAAGTTATAGAATATACTATATTTTACTTATGTATACATCATTTTTATATAAGCATATTTATATGCACATAGTGTATCTTGTCTTCATATATTGCCTTACTGTCATGATTAAACACACATATAGCACGCTATATTAACATGCGTTTGTGCAGCCCAGATGCACATATATGATTATTTGCAAATTCAAACTCTTCCACAGCAATATTCCACTTAAATAAACAAGATCTGCATGCAGCAGAGACATAGTTGTACCCACACACGGGACTGTGTATTAGAACTGTACAGTAGTAAATGAAGCATTCGTTTTCCTGAGTACTTCTGGCAGATAAGGGCTGGCAGACATGTGAAAAAAATAAGTATTGCACTGCTGCACAAAATGATTTTTGCTAAAACAGGAAAATATTTTCTGTTAATTTATATGTTACAGTTTACATGCTGTATTATCAGGTAAAAAACATGAAAGTCATGAAATTATATACTTCAGAAAATAATAAATATCTGTTGTTTTTTTTATTTAAAAAACTAAGAATACCTTTTTGTTTACTTTTTTAAATACGTGTATTTTATGTAGAGAGGATGGCTTGTAAAAAAAAGATAAAATATATAAATATATTTAAACTTGAACATACATTGACTCATTTTGATGATGGTGGTGGAGAGAGCTGTGAAATACGCTGGATCAGAATCTCTTCAGAAAGGTTTTATTTAGTTGAAATTGTGTTTGTAATTTGATAATAATTAAACATCTGGCACCGTTCCTAGTTTAGCCTTTAGTAAAAAGTACTACTTCCACGGGTATACATTTTTTAAAAATTCTGGTTATATTGCAGGTGACCTCCAGCTTTAAACACCAGAAAACACTCATGTCTTATCTGTTGTGTTTGCTTACAGAGATTTGTTTGCTAACACGGGGCAGAAGGACAGCCAGCGTCCGAGCTGACACGTACTGCCGCTTGTACTCATTGTCTGTTGACAACTTCAATGAGGTACTGGAGGAATATCCTATGATGAGAAGGGCCTTTGAGACTGTTGCTCTGGACCGGCTGGACCGTATTGGTGAGAAAATCACATCCAGTCTCATCCATTTAAGCCAAAGTGCAAACCAGTACTACATATTTTCATTTAGTGAGTTTTGATGGCATTTTCCATCAAGAGAGCAAACACTTTCAAACCAGAACTGGAGCTCTTAGACAAAACTTAGGGGGTTTAAAACTGTTCTCAGTGATACTCAGTGACTGAAATTACTTTCAAAGTCATCTGCATATAAACATGCAGATAGAGCTCCGGTTTTAAAATCCCTGTGTGACTTCTCTTACGCATACAATTGATATTCTCTCCATATCCATCACTGTTCCCAGGCTCAGCCTAGGCAGATGAAAAATTCACAATGAAACGCATGCCTGTATCATCACTCAGCCTTCGCTGCATGCTGTTTTATCCTCAGCTATGTTTAGAATGGTAGATAGCGAAAATGCTTTAGGGGGTCTCTTTGTAGAAAATGGCTGCTTTGAAAAAGATGTGGTGGGCTGATAGGAATGTTTCTGTGAAATGGTCTCTTGTGTCCATCCCTTCTCCTGGGCTTGATGCCTATGTACACCATGTTTCCTAATAAAGTAACTGAAACAGGTGAAATCTGCAAATTAATTACTCTCTTGATGGACTTGGCACAATCTGATTTGAAGTGTGCAGGTGATAAAAGGTCAAGAGGTGCAAGGTCAGGCTGGCTAAAATAGTTCCAATACGTCACAGAAAAAGCTCAAGTAATCTGACACCAGTCATAACAGAAAATTGGACAGATTGATCTGGGGCTTATAGCGTTTGCAGTATCATCAGATTTCACAGCCTTTTGTTAACACCAAATTGAAAATGGCAGTCATGTGAATTAACCCTATCACTGCTAGCGCAGCCACTGAACAATGACTAATGGACTCTAGCATCCAGACTGTGCACATTTTGTTAAGAGGGTAGTTTAGCAGTTGATATGCTTGCCATAATGACGCTCACCTTATTTCTTTGACCTTGTGCACACCTCACAGGTACTTCAAAGTACATACATTACCAGAGTGAAAACGTGACGGAGCACAAAAAGCTTTAGTAAGCAATAGTTAAATGAACACAGGATAATTGTTATTCTAAAATGGAATTTCAGATTTAGTATTAATATTTTTTCCACATAAATTTTTTTGTTGCATAGATGTTGCATTTTAGAACAAGAGCACTCAGAGAGCACAACTCCCTCCGAAGGACAAGGACTTTAATAAAGGCTATATAGTTAGCCTGTTATGGCATCATTGTGATGCCTTAGGACATAATATTTTAAAAAGTAAAATATGTGTTCTCCTCATGCTCTTTCATACAGTTCCGATCAAAAGACCACTTGAAAAATGGCAAAAAAAATCATATTTTGCGTGTTTGGATCTTAACAAGGTTCCAAGTAGAGCTTCAACATGCAACAAGAAGAAATGGGAGTGAGACAAAACGTTTTTTTAAACATGCAATTTATTGAAAACAGCGCTTAAACTGAAACAGGCTGAAACATGCAAAATATGATGTTTTGCCATTTTTCAAGTGGTCTTAAAATTTTGATCAGGATTGTATGATATATAACCTGGTATGGTTTCTGGAGAAAAAGTTTCAAGGTCAACTTTGACCTCGGCTCTAACAATGAAGGTCAAGGTCAAATGCTTAGCCAAGCTAGGCACTCATGTCCCCCAAGGCCTAGTATATTATTGTGAAGTTTTAAGGGAATCCATTAAAAAATTTTTTTTAGTTTTTTATTAATTTTCACATTTGGTGTGACCTTGACCTTGACCTGATTTTCATCACAGTTAACTCAGTTCGAGCTGCTATTGGTATCTACCGTCACACAAAATTTGAAAATGATATCTTGAAAACTATGGACAAGAATGCTAACAAACTGAAAAACAAAAACGAATCAATTACACACTCCCTCTGAGAGTGATACCTCCAGGTTTATTGTCTTTTTTCTTTTTTCTTTTTTCTTTTTTACAGTGTTTATTTTGTATCAAGCATGTCACCAAAATATTGTTCACCAAAATATTATGACACAATGGTTGTTTTACGATTTCCCCTTTTTACTTATGGAATCACACTAAAAGCTAATCTAATGTTTATCCTTTTCGTTCATACCTGTTATTATGCTAGCTTCTTCTTTTAGAAAGGGTTTTTGGAATATTCTTTCTTCTCTTACTTTTCACTCTTGTTTTCTGTGTGTCTGTCTTTGTGTGTGCATGGACATGCGCTCTTAAAGGCAAGAAAAACTCCATCCTGCAGCACAAGGTGCAACACGACCTCAGCTCTGGTGTACTCAACTACCAGGAGAATGAGATCATCCAGCAGATTGTGCAGCATGACAGGGACATGGCCCACTGTGCCCACCTCATGCAGAACGCTCCACCACAGACACCGCCCTCACCTACCCCTGTAATCTGGGCCCCACTCATCCAAGCACCTCTCCAGGCAGCAGCTGCCACCACCTCTGTAGCCATAGCCCTGACACACCATCCCCACCTCCCATCAACGCTCTTCAGACCTCCAGTTTCTGTCCTCGGTTCCCTGAAGGACCCTCCTAGCCGACTTAAAAAGTTTCACACATTTGTTCCTTCATCCACATCACCTGGCTCTGCTGGGGACTCTCCTTCTAGCACACCTTCTAAGCTGCAAACTGGGATAGACATGCCATTGCTGGCGTCTTTCCGGGCCCAGCAAATTACATCAGGTTCAGGGGCAACTAGTTCAAGCCAGCATGCTTCAGGTAGCGGAATACAACGCGGACCTTGCAGGTCTGGGCCTGTGTCCAGTGGAGGAGCAACCTCCGTGTTCCCGTTTGGTCAGTTTTCATCTTCTGGTTCACCTTCATCTAGTACGGCCCAGCTGCACCCTCAACCACAAAATCAAAAATCCTTCCGCTCTGGTACACCACCTCTCTCAAACCTCTTTCACCAAGGATCTATAGGTGGAAGCACAGGGTCAGGACTAAGTGGAAGTTTAGCTGGAGCTTGTGGTGGTGCTACGGGATGGTCTTTAGGTGGAGCAGTTGGAGGTTTTGTGGAAGGGGCCACTGGTGGGGACACTTCCTGGGCGGGAGAGGACTATACAACTGGGTTGTTAGAAGTGACTTCTGGTGGGCACTCTGGGTTGGGAGGAGCTAATGGTGGATCAGTAGGAGGGATCTCAGGGGAAACCAAGGTAGGAGTATCTGAGGGAGCAGTGGAAACTGTTTGTAGCAGGTTATCAGGTGGATTGGTGGTACCCAATACATGTGGGCCCATAACTGATACGGCAAAGAGATCAATTGGGGGGACTTCCAGAGGATCACTGGTAATAGCTTCCGGGGGGTCAGTCAGTGGAACTTCTGGAGAATCACTGGCAGTGACTACCACTGGAGGATCACTGGGACGGGCTTCTGATGGATCAGTGGGACTGGTTTATGGTGGAGCCTCAGGGGGAACATTTGGAGGATTTTCTTGTGATTCAACACAAGGAAATTCTGGGGGATCAATGGGGAGGACTTCTGGTGGATCAACAACTAGCCATTTAGGTGGAGGTTCAAGTGGGACAGTAGGAGGAGTGACTGGAGGACATATAGGCAGAGCAGTAAGTGGCACAATTGGAAGCCATATAGCAGGATCTACAGCTTGTTCTCTTGGAGGAATTACTTCTGGGCTTATTAGTTCCTCTCGCTGTCAGAGCCCTATATCTAATAATTCTCTATCTGGTCAGCTTCCCCAAAACCAACCACCTGCCAAGCCTCCTCAGGTGGCTCCTCTGCAGCAGTTTGCTGGAGGAGGCAGGACTACCAGTGGATTAAACCTTTTCCAGTCCCCTCCACAAGGTTCCCCATCCTCTGGTAGAGGACAGCACAGTCAGCAGCCTGCTGAGGGCTCCCCATCTTCCCTCAGCCATTCTAGCCTGGCAGGCCTCCAGTCTGGCTGCTTACCTCACCAGATGTCACTGGAAAGGTCTGCATTGGCTTCTCTGGCCCAGTATGGTTCAGCAAACGCCTCACCCTGCCTTACTCCAGTCGCACCCAGTCCCACTGTTCAAAGCCCTGTGGCAGGCAGGACTTTCCACTACAGTGACCCTTCTAGTGTCACAGGATCCCACAGTTCTTTGCTCATGCCTCAAACTTGTTTTCCTTCACAGCTTCCAAGCCAGCCACAAAGTACAGGAAGAGATTCCCCTCTGGGACGTTTTTCTGAGGACCTAAAGCTTTTATCTAGCTCCCATTCATCCCTGCCCCAAGAGGTGGCCCAGGTCTTAAGCCACCAAACTCCTTGCTCTTCAATAGAAACTGGGTATTACCCTTCTCCATTTTCCTCTCCTACTCTTGTACCCAAACCCTGTAGCTCAGTGCCAGGGCACATGACTCCTCCAATCCAGATGTCTCCGGGGCACCCTCACCAGACTTATTCCTCCGGGGCCTCACCAGCCTTGTCTTTACGGAGGGACTCTGCTGCCTTTTCATCTGATCTAGAACCTCAGTCTGTCCGCTCTAAACTCCCTTCAAATTTGTGAGGATTGATCACACCCTCCTGTGCTCCTTTGAACTAAAACACAAATGATCTCCATTTGTGGCATTCTTTTCTGTCTTCAGACTATTTTTCACTTTAATTTTACCAAGATTTTACATTTACTGTGATTTAAAAGACACTTCATAGGGCAACTCAGAGCTCTATAGTACACTTTGTTTGATTTATGCTTTTTCCTTTTATTATTCATTGATACTGTGTATATAGATAGAGTTATATTTAAATGATAAGTTAATCAAGGGACTAGGAGGGTGTGAAAATGATCTCCATTTAAAAGACAGTCATTTTATTTATTTCTATAACTATGCCAAATTCATGTTGTGATGTTTAGGTGATTCAATGGACTACCCAATAATACTCGTTTTCTGCAGGAACCTATGCACTAACACCTGCATGTATCAATGTTTTTGTCTTTCTTTCTTTTTTTTTTGCGTGTGTGTTTAAAAATTATCTACATTTTTAGCGAAAAAACATGCTTTGAGACAGACTGACTCTTGTATTATCTCATTTAGGATCACATATTGTTGATCCTTAAATGTATCTATTAGATTGTACTTATTTATTCTCTGTATAATCTTTTCAAAACCTTGAGGGATGGAGAAGAGATTTTAGGAAACCAAAAAGACTTTTCCTGTGGGATAATACTTCACCACTTCTTGACCCATTATCCTTGTTTTCTACCACTTTCTCAAATTACTACTGTTTTTGAAGCAGGGGTACAGGGGTTCAGCGAGCTCCCCTCCGTCTAAATATTGAGACGTAACAGTATGTGAGTGACTGGCTTTCTGCAGAGTCCTCAATCATGTCCTAACAAGCTCACTTTGTCTTCCAAGCTCATGTTGCTAATGTGTGTAGAAAGCATGTGAAAGCATATTTTTTTCCCCTGACTGTGAGCAACTGTTAATGTGTGAGTGTTAGTGCTAATATGTGTGAATCAGTTGAACACTCAGATGCAAAGCAAAACTTTCCTAGAATGATCATCAGAGCCTTTTTACACAAAAACTAGGACTTCCATTAGCGTGTATGATGCACTGTGTAGCACGCAAACAATTTAAAGTAAAAAATAGCCAGATGTTTAATATCCCACAAACTAGACTTTCATGTAGGAAAAACAGTATATTCAGTACACAATCTGAAGTATTTGAAAAATGCTGGAAACTAGAATACACCTTGATATTTAATTACTTCTATTTTAGTTGTTATATGCTTTCAACAAAGACATTTTTGAAAGCTACTGCTGAGTTGGAGATGAAGTTGAATGTAAGTAAGTACTTTTGCTATTGTAGATTAACTGAAGGCACAATGCTCCAGGGGGTTAAGAGACTGTTCCACCACTGAAAAGGTCATGGATTCAATATCTTTGACAGATGTTTCCAGCAGCAGCAGCAGCAGCCATTTCTACTGCCAAAGTGTCCTTTACCAAGACACAGAATAAGTACTTGCTAAATTGTTTGTGAGGTTATTGGATGTGTTACTCAGTTAGGTTCTCTAAAACAGATTACACCTCTGCATATGTTCCTTAAAATATTGATGCACAACTACATTGCCAAAGTACACCTGAGAAAAATTGTACAATTGCAATATAATCTCCAATACATAGATTAATTAACAAGTAAAAATAAGAGAGATTTTGACACACACACACACACACACACACACACACACACACACACACA